AATCTCACGGTCGCTTCTCCACTCCAGGACACACCCGCCCTGCGTCCTGATTGGACAGACCATAAATTCGGTTGGGGAACCTGCTGGTCCTGCATTGAATGCTGCAAAGCCTCTTCCCAGAGGGCAGCGGGGAGAACAGTCCATGGTGTGGGATTGAGGGGTCACTGATTAAGTTACGAGCTCAGGACACACAGCGCTGGTATGAAAATCTTTAATAGAGGGAAAAAGAGCCCTGATGATCCTCTCTGATGTTCTCACCACTCTTCTCATGTTCTTCTAGTCTGAGGCGCTGCAGCCTCCACACCACACTATGGTGTTTCCACATTGATAATTTCACAGTTGATCTCATATTTCCCTCTGATACATGTTATTATTCATGGTGGATTCTATGACGGTGGACTGGCCAAGACCTGCTGCAGTTAAAAAGTTCCCAAACCACATGAGACTTCCACTTCTATGCTTCAGAGCTGATATGAGACCTTTATTCTCAAAGGCCTCCTCAAAGGCCTCCAACAGCCCTTTGGATCTCTCCTCTGTGTTATCTCAGTTTAACTGTCAGCAACACAGTAGACCACATGTCTAAAGCATAAACAGGGCAAACTTTGTTCAAAATGCTGAATAGGAATGTTCACATCCTGTTTAATTATTTTAGAAAAAGTATCTTTTTTTTTTTATTTGATAAATCATTTTCAAATGGATTTTAGTGTAATTAAATGCCCAAATATGATAGAAAAAAGAGAAAGACTACACTAGACATTTGCTTTTACATTAGAATACATTTTTTTTTTTTTTTTACAAGGGGTGGTGTTTATTTTTATTTAAAAGGTTTGAGTGGGAATTTTTTTCTTCTTTTAGGTGTGGTTTGATTTTACATCAGGAATCAGGAAAAAACAATATTTTAATAAACATTTTTTTGTTGTTCAGTGGAAGAGATAACAGTTTTCCAAATTAAAACAAACTTTACTAATACTAAAAAAAAATTAGTTGAAATAAGGTTATGTAATGTATTTTTTAAATGGACGTGTGTATGTTTGACATGAATCGCTTAGATTTATATTTGGAATTTTGAATTTAATTCAGTTTATTTAAATTAATTTATAAATTTTTTATTGATTTACAAAACTTTTACAGCAGGTTTACAGTTTGGAACATTATCAAATATTTGTGAATCATTACAAAAATGTGACTTTATCTTTCCAGCACTTTGCAGCCCTAGTTCCAGCTCAGTAAAGCCTCTTGTTGTATGACTTCCATCCTGGTAACTTCTGTCTACTTTCCCTCCCACAGTATGGTCTACGCCTTGGTGAGCTTCTAACAGGTGATGTAATGATCTAACTGGAAGGACCTATTTGATACCCAAAACCATCGGAGGCAAGCCTTTCTTCTTTTCACGTTTTCTGACTTTTGTGGCTGTCTTTTGGACAAAACAAAAAGACAAATCAGACTCAATGCGTTACTTAGGACCTTGTTTAGCCCATCATCCCTTAAACCACTGTCAGGCGCCTGGAGAGAAAAAAAAAAAAAACAGCTCCCAAAGACTGAAAAGAAACAAGAAGAGGATGTTTGAGATGCCTTTGACCCAATACATGATTTACCAATATTAATGAAGGGCTGGATTTCTCCGCGATGCTCTTACTGATCCAGCCGCCCAACTCACTGTGAATCTCCAAACACTTAGGGGCTGGAAAAGAAAAGAACATGTCTGTAATCTTTGACTTGAAAAATTTACTAAAAGCAGGATTGTTTTGATTTGAGTCATTTTATTTCAGACACTGGTTATGTCGAACAATCACACTAATTATGTGGCAGGTGCATTTCTCTTTATGAAAAGGCTGAAACCAGAGAGCTTATGCCCAGGCACCGTAATGAGCTGCAAAGACCTACTAAGCTTGCTCAGCTCTGACTAAACTATAAACTATAAGGTGATTAAAGGTAAATATAATAAAGGTACAAATTTAACCCAGTTTCACAAAAAACATTAAAAAAACACTTATGAAAATTTGCAAATTAGTGCAAATCTAATGTAAGTTATAGATGAAAAGGGTAAATGTTGACCCAGAGTGGATTCAGCTTTCATAGCTCTGTGGATGTTTTGCTCTGACACTAAGTTTAACCATAAATTTAACTTTAAGGATCTGTATGCTTTCAAAAATGGGTTTGTTTGTACCTCTTAAGACATATTTCTTGCTTAATAGGTTCATGCTTTTGACAGAGCATCATGCTCTAATAATACCAAAAGTTTGAAATGAAACAAAAATGTGCCAAATTTTAAACTGGCTCCCCTTTAGGGACATTTAAGGCAATTTATCAGATTTATAAATTAAGCTGTGTGAGGTTTTAAGTACAATAGTCTCAGCTCTAGACAGCAAATCAAGGAAAAATGAACAAAACTTCACTTTTAACTCACTGATTTACAGTTGTTAACATTTGGCAACCAGATTGTTTTTGTTTTTTTTTTAAAGAAAAAAAAGTAGAAAAAGAAAAAAAAAATGTCTGTTGTAGTTTTAGTGTACAGAGAGCGCCTTATTTCTGTCCCAGTGAAGTCATCTCAGTCATCTCCATCTATACGATAGTCATTTTAGCAGGCAAACTGTTCTCCGATTGAGGTAGAGTAGTGATCACATGTACAAAAAGCAATTTAAAAACAACAGAAAAGCAATGTAATATGACTCCTGATACATATCAAAGGAGTGTTATTCAGTATTTATGATACCAGTGATTGAGGCTCAATCGTCGTCAGGGGAGACATTTATGAGTCAATGACAAAGTTTCAGCTATTGAGGAAGTGTAAAAAACATAGTGAAGTCATCATAATACTGCAGTCACAGAGAGGACCAATGTGAGATTTTAACCAGCAGTGACTTTCTGCAGCACATGCTGCCTGTGATGAAAGTATGGTCTATTTGTGTATCTAACTGGAATAAAATGCTTAAAGAATAAATAAGCTGGAAGGCTGTGGACATGCTCTGATGTTTGTGTACGCTGCAGCCAATGGAAGACGTTCCTCATTTCATCTCCAAACTTTACAAACTACCATAAGCTTTGATAGATGATCATCAGCAGAAAAAAATATCACCTACTCCAGGCATATTTAAATAAAAAATAAAAGAAAACAATGTGTATCGGCCAAATGTGTGTCCACAACCAGTGTGAGACCAGAGTTTTTTGGGGATGCCACAATTACAGTCAAATTATTTAGTTCCTGAAAAACAAATATATAATTTGATTAGCATAGAAAAACAGAAATACTTCAAAAGCACAAAATGTGCATCAGACAACCTGTCCAGTGGATAATATACGCCTAAATTTCTTATTATTAGTTTGGTGCCAACTGTAGCCATCATATCAGATTGGGTACTGATCGAGACATTTTGGATTCATAGGTCTCTGATAGATTTTTCATATGCTGTCATTTAATTCATTTGCACCCATAGTTTTATCCAGCAAGCTACTCAAATACACATATGACCAATTTTCTCAAAACCCTTGAGATCTTAATCCTCAGTTTGTATTTTAAAGCATGAAAATGAATCTAATGATCCAAGATTATCTGTACATCTCTGTACCTTCATGCTGATGGCAGATTGTTCTGGATATTGCCGCTTGCAGCCTACTGAAACCATGTGACCTTCACTGTGTTCTCATGAAGCCCAAACACCACAGACCCTATGTAAGTTCATGACTAAAAAGTGAGTCTATGAAGTAGAAAATAACTGTTTATATTTTTGTCCGAATAAATTTAACCTAGAGTCACAAAAGGGAGGTGTGATAAACTGATTATCTCTGTATATGTATGTATTATCAATGAGATACAGAAACATTATTAAGAGGTTTTTATTTATTTATCTTTAAACTTTGCTTTTCTGTCTTTTTTGGGCAAACTCGGCTGTTAAGCCTTATATGGTTTGGATTTTCTACCTTATGGGACATAGTCTCGTTATATGACTTTTCAAATATATATGCCAGTAGCTAACTTTGGTTGCATAAAATGTTTTACTGAAAGATAAGCTTGTCTTTTTTTGTCCCAGCTGCTAGAACCCAAAAGTCTATTCAAGATCATATTAATTTCAAGGCTCATCAACAATCCACTTACCAGGAGAATAATTCCAAAAAAAATATTTTAACATGTGACCTTTTTTTCATTAATTTAAACTAAAAAATGTGTTTCCCATGATGCTGCATTTGGCAGAAATGTGATTTTTTTTTTTATTCTTTAATGTTTCTGTAGATTAGTTTGTTAAACGGATATTGGCTGGTCTTTGACCTCGTCAAGCTGTAGCTTTGCAGATATTGCTGGATAGGCAGGATCTATAAGGCAGCTGGGACAATAGTCGCCATTGAACTTTCTGATTGCTCCAGCTGCAGGTAGACCTCTGCTTTGTCTACATATTGCTCCCACTTCAGAAATTCTATTTAGGCTCAAAAGGACTGTGTAAACACCATCAGGACATACAGTAGGCCTAGTTAATATTACCTTACATTATTGTGATCCAATGTTTTTAGGTATTTTATGTGTTGGAATATAACCTGACTATGCCCCTTAAGCCTTTTAAAACAGTTGGCTTGAAATTTGGCCCAATCTTTCAGGCAGATATGGCTTTCCTGTAGGTCATCTTGCTTACAGAACAAACATACATTTTAAGGGAATGAAATCTCATTATGATTTTGTACTTCAAAGTAGGAAGATGTTTTTAGGCTTGCAAGATATCCACCAAATGTAACAGTTTTAATGCTGGCAAAATAATTCAGTTTTATATTCATCAGACCACAGGACATGTCTCCAAAATGAAAATATACTTATGTCCTTGAAGGCATCTGCACATGATATATGAGCTTTTTGTTGTCTTAGAAATATTGGATCTTTTTCCTCTCAGAAGGGCCTTTTAAGCCCATGTCGATAAAAAATTTGTCTCACTGTGAGTAGCAAAGTTTTACAAGCTTAATTCAACATCCTCACAAGGTTTCTAGCTTTTGTTCTGTGAATGATTTGCAGACTGTGTGCCAAAAACACATTAATCTCGGGGATACAGAACCCGTCGCATGTTTGGACATCCCAATGGTGTTCATTCTTCTGTATAATAGTTTGAACAGATCATTGGCGTACTTTAGGTGTCTGGAAACTGTTCCACAAGAGGAAACAGATTTGGTTTTTCTCCTTTTTTTCAATGATGTTACCCAGGAAAGAAGTGTCTTTGCGGTGTTGACCTAAAATACATCCACAAATGTGTCTCTATTTACTGTAACTCCAATGTTGTAAAGTTAATAGAGGCCATTAAGTCATTATTTTGGCTTTCCCAAATTGTTAACAAGGGATGAAATTTGGTTTTAATTTCAACAAAGTAAAAATTTATTTCACCAACTTTAATGTATGTAGGATAGCCTGTCCAGAATAACTCAGAGCAGCGGTAAAGACAAAACAAAATTGTAAAAGACATCTTTAAATAATTTATTTATCTTATTGTTGCTTTTATTGTAATTATAAGCTATAAATCTTACAAAAAAGCTCAACATAGCAATTCTGAATTAACAGCAATATTATCTGTAGGAAGTTCTGTTTTTTTTTTTTTAGATATTCTGTGCTTGTTCCACCACTCTGTCCACCATGCTCCAAATGATTAGGAGAAAATCTCAACTTGACTGTGTGATTTTTAATTTTTTTTTATTTCAATCACTGAGCAACTTTCATTGGCTGCCAGTGTTTTGAGGGACAAGCAATAGTGCAGCCACATCGTGCCGAGAGAAGTTTGCAGATAATCACAGGACACAGAGACCTCAGTTTTCTGCCAACTGTGTGAATGTGTGGGTCTGGACAATCACTATCAAAGCACAGGGAAAGGATGACAGGGGACGAAATAAAGCCTGCTGGAACATCGTTATGTAGTTGCTCTAAATAAAGCGTTTTAGGAAACTGAATTTAATGAAATCTATATTGTATCTGTCTTTTATACATTTCTCATAATGCTAAAGTAGATTTGGTGAATTACTTTATATTTATTCAGCTCTACTATGATGTGCATCTATTTACATGTCATATCCCAATAAAAACCATCACGACAAAATCACTTCTAAGTTTCTTCTTTCATGTTGAAGGTCAGCGGTGTGTTCGGGTTGTGAGGAAACCTGCTGTGCCAAAGCCATTGCTGTACTTAAGGAGAAAAAATAGCTCTCTGAGCATGCAGGGTGTAGGGGGGGTTCATGAGGAAACCAGAGTGGTAAATTAGATGGGGAAGGACGAAAAATGCTGAAAGCTGCCTAGGCTAACAGCTGCATTTAGAAGTGGCTGCAGAGACATTTAGACACTTCTTGACGAGAACCAGAATAACTGTGCCCCCACTGAGATGGTAATCGCTTCCACTTTAGAGGCAGCAAAAGCAGGTTATAGCTTTTGAGTTAGTGTCTACTGAATTTTAACATGAGCACAAGTTATATTCGATGTTTACAGGGCACTGAAAATTATAATTGCTTTAACGATAACTTTAGGTAGCATCTCCAAAGAGCATCACATCATCATATCATCTCTACTGTCACGGTAAAAAGAAAGCACACCCACTTCTGGGGTTTAAACTATCAGGATATAGGAAAAAAATGTTAAAAGCATGATTGATTAATTACATTATTATGTATTAGAAACATAAAGAAAGAATTTAGAAGTGTAGCTTCATTATAATTCAAGAGCCTGTGGAAACCCACTTTACAGATTAGGTACTGTCTGTTTCTGCCTCGCTTTTTTCTGAGATTAAATTCTGCGCTTTGATTTTGTTCTTTTCATTAAATCAAACAATCCAATTTTATTTATTACAGCTTTTATTCACAGAGATGATAGTGTACTGAGATTGAATATAAAGGGACAAATGCACACCAGAAAATGTTAAACCTTGCAAATATAGCCCACATCAACCAGAGAAATACATTTAATCATTATAGAAACTAAAGAAATGTGATGTCTTTCAAAATGAAGATACAGCCGAGTAAAACATGTAATTTAATGCTTTTTTTGAAATGATGGGATCGTAGATTTGCATCCGTGTGCTGGGTTTAATCATTCAATTTGGGCTTCAATTTCTAAAGAGATGTCCTAACTCAAGTATGAAACGATTGAATTGTGACCTCACAAGTACCATCCCTCAATCTCTCCTACTTGTCGGCAAAGAGCCTGATTGCTGTATGAGAGAAGAGTAAAAAACACATATAATATCTGTTAACTTAATCTGAATCTTCTACAGGCCTATCTCAACTAATAACATTTCAGACCCTTCCATAAAGGCAATTCACATGGTCATTGGATGTTTTTCCACCTTACTGTTTCCAAATCAAGTAAACAATGTCCTGGTACCTTCACAGCTCAAATTGTTTAGAAGTTTTCTATCTAAGGAAAACCAGTTGATTGCATCAACTCATTGACTCGAAGGCAATCCCTCACACTAAGCGTGCTTGTAGTGACAGTGGAGAGGAAAAACTCCCTTTTAACAGGAAGAAACCTCCAGCAGAACCAGGCTCAGTGTGAGCGGCTATCTGTCAAGGCCGACTGGGGTTCAAAGAGACAGAAGCAGAGATACAATAGGCAACTGTAAAAAGTGGCCCCGTCCAGGAATCACACTGCCAGGCAGATGAGCTACGAGCCTGCTCCCATTTCAGAGGATGAAGAGAGCACATCCAGCCAGTCACAGTCAGAGAAACAGGACTTCACTGAAAAAAGGCAGATCTCCATTATCTATAGACGAAGCTGTTGATGGAAGTAGTACAGCTGATATTTCTCTCCAGGATGGAGTCACAGCCAAACAGGAAAGACGAGGCGAAGCTACTATGAGAAAAAGCAGAGAGAGCATGAAAGCCAGTCCCCAGACCTAAACCCATTAGAGAATCTTAGGAGGGAGCTCAAACTCTGTGTTTCTCAGTGACAGCCCAGAAACCTGACTGATCTAGAGAAGATTTGTGTGGAGAAGTGGGAAAAAATCCCTCCTGCAGGATGTGCAAACCTGGTGAAAAAAAACACAGGAAATGTTTGACCCCTGTAATATAAAAAATAGGCTACCATACCAAATATTGACATTGATTTTCTCAGATGTTCGGATGTTTTTTGCAGCTCTATCTTATTAATAAATTGTTAGAAAATCCTATATTGTGATTTCTAAATTATTTTTTTTTTTTTATAGATTATGTCTCTAATAGTGGACATACACTTATGATGACAATTTCAGACCCATCCATTATTTCTAAGTGGGAGAACTTGCAAAATTACATGGTGTGCAAATACTTATTTTCCTCACTGTAGGTATGGTGTGATTTCACTTCAGAGTAAAGTTAGGGTTTGGACATACTGGGAGTATTTAGGGTTAGGCCAAATAAAGGTTTGAACAGGACTGAAAATTAATGGAAGTTGATCCTCACTACATATTGCAAGATGAGAATGTGTGTGTGGTGGAGTGTTGCATTAGTGTTGGTGATGCATTAAAGTAAAGGTGTCTCTGCTTTAATGGGTCAGAAACTCAGTTACTTGAAAAAATGCAAAGCATGTTTTCTGTAAAAGGAAGGAAATTATAACTGAAGGGGTATTTGAAAGCGAGTATGCATAGTTAGAATTTTATTTATTATCTGAGTGTGGAGGAAGGTCGGCAGCTCAAACTTCCCCCAGAAGAAAATATAGAGAGGAGGAAGATAGTTGAAATGTTGTAAAAGCTTCTGTGTTGATACTCCTGATGACAAGTCAGGGGAAGGAGTTTGACCGTGATTGTTGACACATCTTCCTGCGACCTTTCAGACATGTAAACTAACCTTGTTGTGTTTTTTTTTTTGTAAATATGTTCAGTATGTTGTTTGCTACTTCATAATAAACTAAATTACATTTCTTTTGGCAAAGCATTATTTTATTGTTATTAATGCACATTCTGGAACATGAGACGCTCTTGTTCTTATTTGTCCACTGCCTTCCTGGAAAAGTTATCTTGAGCGTTTGATCTGCTGGACTCTATAATCCCAAAACATCTTTCTTATTGGTACTATAAATGGTGTTTGACAAAAATAAGCCAGGGACTTATTTGAGGTCTGTAAGGTTCTCCAGTACATCAATAGTTTAAATAATGATTCAGACAGAAAACAACAGGGCTTCAAGCTGGTCTTTTTTCCTCTGTTTGAAGAGGACATATCACTCCCTGCTGTCACCATGGAAACCAAATTGTACCAGAAATTCCTGTTGACTCACGTCGAGGGTCTCACTCAAAGCAGAAATATTAAAGTGAAGGTGGTGCAGATGCCTTGCAGTGCCGCCTTTTCTTCTCAACACCTTTTGACGAGACATAAATAACTCAGGCTCAGGTACGCAGTCATCTCGACCTGAAGCCCAGTACATGTCAGCAGCCACAGACAGGAACGCACAGCAACATGCTTTGGTTTTTCCACTCTGTCTCAGCCCACGGTTCACACTCCTGCACTCCCATCATCCTGGGCTCTTCCTTTTGCAGCACCCTCCACCACAATAATTGTCTCAACTCCTTTCCCCTCTCTCCCACGTCTGTGCTCTCCCCGAGAGATGTAACCATGGAAACTGGCCACAACTGATGGGCTTGAAACGTCAGGACTGGCATGCACAATCGGCCAGTGCTTACGCACGCGCAGAGGATGTATGCACAAAGACAAACACACACGGACATGCTTGTGATTATTGTGCTCATTCATTATTATGCAAGACACCCTGAGCTGCATGTTATTTTGATTGTATGGACAGGCTAGCCCTGGTGAAATGCATCCTCATATATGCAGCCAGATTTTCATATTTTAGTGGAAGATTACCAGCACATTAACTGACAAGGAGGCCGTGAAAAGAAATCCAGCTTTGTTGAATTCATTGCGTTTAATCAAAAAATAAAAGAAAATGCTACAATTCCTGTTGCAACATCCCTGTAATATATTGAAAAGCCAAGCTATTTAAACACAGAAACTCTTATCTCCTAAAGTATTTATACCTACCATAAATGTTCATATTTTCATACATTAGAAGCAAAGACTTTATTGTGTTTAACAGGAATTTTAAATAAAAGTGCAACACAAAGCAGAGCGTAAATGTGAAGCGGAAAGAAAATGATTTAGAGTTTTCAACATTTTTAAGAACAAAAACCTGAAAAGTGTGGCATGTATTTTTATTCGACCTCCTTTCCTCTGATACCCTAAAATAACTGATCTGGAAACTCAAACATCGTGGTGAATCCAACTCATTCATATAGATAGTGAGAACTTTCTAGGGCAGAGGTTCCTCAGGGGTTGGTTAGAGCAGAGCTTCTCAAAGTTGGGTTTGGGATCCCCCTTGGAGGGTTGCGAGACACCCAACAGGAGGTCATGAGATGGTTTAAATGAATGCCTGAAGTATATGGAGGGCCAGAATATACGTTGGAACACATAAATGTGTATGTCCCATGAAATGAATAAATGTACCACAAAATAACTAGCTGTATATTTTATTTATATTGATTTGAATTTTACAGTAACTATACCAATAAATTATAAGATGCACAACAAAGAATTCAGTGTCCCATTAAATTATTAAATAGATTATTAAAAAATACATTTAAAAAGATGCATAAAAATAAAATAAATATATTTAAAGGAAATCTATCTATCTATCTATCTATCTATCGTGAACATGAATTAAATATAATTTTTTCAGTGGGAGGGTGGGTGGAGGGATGATAGCCAGTCTATGGCACTATATATGTTTTTTTTTTTGGTTCACAAACTGAAAAGGAACCCTTGCCAGAGAACCATTTTTGTGAGAATCCCTGTGTTTGAGAACAGCATCAAGACACAGGAACCCACAGTAGAGGTTGAGTACAAGCAAGGACATTAAGAAGTTACATCTCACCATTTAACATATCATTCTGCACCTAAATTTAGAGGTGCGTAACAAAACAATCCAATCAGACATGGCCGTTCACGAAACAGAAAGGCTTAGTAAGGAGTAGCAAACAGTCTATAGTACCTGAAGGAACTGCAGAGATTTACAGCTCATGTGGGAGGATCTATTCACAGGACTTATGTCATTCAGGCACTTCAAAATTATGGCCACTATGAAAAAGGAGATTATTATTAAAATCAGATTTGCAGTTTGACTCAAGCAGTCCAGAGAATCAGCAAACATCTAAACATTGTTGCTTGGGTCGAAGCTGATGAGGCTATTCTGAACATTTTGGCCCAAATGCAAACTACTGTTAGTGATGAGAAACTAACACAGCACATCACCATAAACATATCAACCCCCAAACACTTCAGCAGGCAGAGGACAGCTGGTCACAGTCAATTACAAGCTTGACTTCAAAATGACGCTTTGTTTTCTATAAGTGTATTGCATAAAATCCCAGTAAAACACTGAATATGTGACTGTAATGCGACAAAAACAAGGAATAGTTCAGAGATAGGAATACAGTCGCAAGTGTGGCCCTATCCCAGTGTAAATGATGGAAAATCAACTCATCTGATCTATATTTCAGTTTATGCCTTTTATAGCTTCAAACGGATGAAGATATGGAAGCGTTTTCTTAACAAGTGTTTTGGTCCAAGAATGTGTCAAACCTGTTCACACTTATGTTTTATTCAGACTGCCGATTGTCTGCCCAGACGGAAACACCAGCGTGACTCACTTTGACAGTCGTCTCCCGTTTCATTTATATTAATATCCATCACATTCATCCAAACTAAAGGCTAATTTCATTTCCAGCTAATGGCTGAAATGAGACAGGAAAATGACTTCTGCTATAGCGTTCCAGATGCTTGCAGTAGTTCGGCCAGACAGGTATGTTTTTAGAAAATGTAATCAACTTATATATCTTCTAAATGATGCTTTCAATGTCTGAAATCTTTTTCCTCCTGCTTATATAATTTCTAAAATCAGTCTGACATTTAAAAGAGGGCAAGAACAAACATCAGCATGAATTACTGCAATAACATTATAGCTTAATCCGAAAATGCAGAGAGAAATGCCAATATTTACAAGTATGAACATGTATAAAAAGCTAAGAAATGTTAACGTTGTGGAACAATCACATCATTGTATAACCGCCTTCCTAATTAACACTTTGCATATGAAAAACAACAGAAAATAGATTGTGTGGGTGAGGCCAGAGGCCAGCTGTGTTGGAGAGAAGGCTTAAAAGGTGACAAATGAAGGTGCATCAGCAGAGTGCTCTGTTGTCTGTGTGCACACCCCCCTGACTGTATCGCATCATCTGCAGAATAAATGCGAAGTGAATCATAATGGAAAAGGGGAACATATTTTTAGATAAATGATAAATGAAAAAGGTTTTCAAATTTGTTTAGCGAAAAAAAAACCAGGATGAAGCAGACCAGAGGTCGGTACCAATCACCATCATGGAGACTTTCCTTTAAAGGTGGTAGCTGCACAGAAACTGCTCTTTAACTGCAGCTAAAGAGTATTATTTTTCATGATAAACAGGTTATTAAAGGCTACTATGGTTATTAGTGTTATGATCTTGGCACTGATGCCTGGTCTATTACTTATTTCACACACCTGCTGAACTCCGCCCAGTTCTCATTACCTGCTTATCTGATCCTCCTGCATTAACCTCTATTTAACCAGCCTTCAGACCAGTCATCAGTGCCAGATTTTTGAAGCTATTGATGAGAATTATTCTAGCGTTCTGATTAGCTGATCCTGACCCGTTGTGCCTCTCAATATTTGAGTCTGCCTGTCCCTGTCTGCAAGACCTGTCTTCTGCCTCCTGCCGGATCTCTGCTTGTCTGTGTACCATGACTGGAACTGCTACTCGACTCTGTCTTGGATTCTTCCTCTGCATCTCACATGATCTCTAACCTCCTGGCTCTGACAACTGAGCCTGTCACCGACATCGACTTTGTCCTCAGGGTATCCTGCCTACATTTGACTGCTTGGTTCCGATTTCCTGCCTGTTGTTCGACCACCTACACATCAGTGTCTGGGACTCTCTGTGCGGCGGTGGCCGCGCCTTGTTAGTTGCTGGAAACCATCCTAACCCTCTGGATTCGGACTGAACTATAAGAAAAGGTTAGTAACTCACACGCTCGTTATCATCCACTTCCAGAAAGACATGGTTATAGCTCTTGGCTTGGCTTGGAGCTGTGTAGGACTACCAGCCCAAAAAGATCTCTATGATGCTGTTTGTTCACTACTGTTCACAAAAAAAAAAAATCTCTAAATAGGGAGATTAAATTATTTACTACTTATAGGGGACTTCAGAGACAACTGATTATATTTAATTTGAGGTATAAGAATGGGAAACCCACATCTGCTTGAGTTTTTTTTTTATTTTGAAACTTCACCTCAGAAAACACTCCCGTTTGTGTTGGTCTACCACATAAAAGATTTCATAGGAATAAATACTTTTTCTTCCAAGACAGATATTTAAAATAAATAAAAGAGTACAGGTATATAAATGCTAAGGCAATCAAAATGGGTCAAATAAATGCAAAAAAAGATCCCAAAGCTTTATTAAGAGTTTTAATTTATTCCAAATATATGTCACCACCAAAATACATTTCACCAGATATTGTAGCTCAAAGGTTTTGATAAGGTTTTACTAAAAAAGGCACTTTATGGATCTTTATTCTATTAGTAGAAAATATTTCAACAACATAAAAAAGGAGATGTATATTGATGATCAACTTTACATACAATAAAGGAACGGAAGTTTTAAAAAATCATACTGAAATTTTTTTTTAAATATATATATATTTATATATATATAAATATAGAGATTGGTTTTACATGTTTTTCATTCATGTAAACTAACGTTTTGCACACGTTTTGTTGAATCCTACATATTTTTCTTTTCAGTATATGTACGGGAAGATCCTGTAGGGAACCCGGCGACAGTAGGTGTCCCACGCGAGGCCGTACTTGGCTTTGCACTGTCTCTCATCCCGGGCCTCCCGGTGAATCAGCAGAATGGTGAAGTAAATCACATAGAAGTAAGGCAAGAGATGAGAGAAACCTAAAGGAAAACAGAAACACGAAGAGCAACAAGTTTAACAGACCAAAAAAGCGGCATGAACAGCATTGAACAATGCGTAATCAAGAGTACAGCCTCCTCTGCAAATTGCAGAACATTTTCATTTTTGTCTGCATTGCACAAAAGACTTGCAGTGAATAGCTGTTTGATTATGCTCATGCAGTTCCGTGTTGATTCATCCTGACGGTCACCTTTTAATCCTTTACTTAGAGCCTTTGTCTCTCTGTCATCGTTTCCTCATTCTTTTCTTCTTTTTTTTTAGAGCAGTTCTCTTCAGTCTAGAACATGCATTACATGATTCTTTTTTGGGGGGTAGGATGTGCAGAATTTCTCAGTTTGTGGATTTGCACCAGCAATTATGACAGAAACGAAATAATACATCTCAGTTACAAAAGGCTGCTACAGCAGTGAGTCACTTTAAGCTGAATATCAATGAGAGGTAAAGAGAAACGTCAACCGTAACAAAAGTCTGACAGCTGCTATTTCAGGGATGGTTCAAGGAAAAGGGAGGCAGTTTCTTGGCAGAGCAAACGGTCTTATCATTTATCTGGTCATAAAATCCTACGTATTCTTTGCAAAAAACCCTGAAAACATTAGAAAAGGGTTCACAGTTGCTGTTTTGGCTTTATCTTTTGCTAAAAGAGCTATATGTCCTTCAAACCCATTCGTATTTAAAAGGGTAGAAATTGCTAGAAACTCTGAGAAAGTTCCATGAGAATTTGAAAGGGTTATCAGGCCCGCAGCATAATGCATCTGCTACCTAAAATGAACTGTGAATAAAAGACTCTCCTGCCAGGAAAAAAAAAAAACAAACCCACACAGTTCCAGGTAAATTCTATTGAGAGATGAACAAATTCATAGACTTTTTTGGGACCCTGATAAAACTGCAGTTGGTTACATATTTGTCTTGAAGGAAACTTCAAGGTGGACGATTTAGCCGAAATTGCTAATTTATTTCGAGTGTTTTCCTTTGCATTAACCCCAAGTTGCATTGTAGATGTTTCCCTCCGAGCTTTCAGCTTTTGAAAGCTTGCTGGCCCAGAATCCAATGTTACAAGACTTTACTGTAACCATTGTGTGAAAAAAGTGTTTACTTCTACTTGCATGCATGGATCTTTGTGCTAACTTCAACCTTTCTGTGTGGCGTCAAACCCACTTAAAGCATTTTACCACCACCTAAAGGGCTGCAGGGAAGGATTTAGTGTCCTACTCTTGTTGGAGTTTGATTAAAAATCAGTGCCTCTGTGATTTGAAAGTAGCATTTTGTTAATTTGCGATTATATTGGAAATGCAATTAATTGTCCTTATGGGAATCAAATAAATAACAGGTGTTGTGCATTGTAAAATGATTGTCAGTCAGGAACCCATTTGAGGCTCACCTAAGGCACAGAAATTGGTTCTGACAGTGCTACTATTATTTTCTCCACCCAAGTCGGCTTCACAATCAATGAAAGACGTATAGTAGCAGCCATTCAAAATGGCGCTTCCCAGTCAAACGCCAGCGGAATGGTATCCCACTTCCCTGTAACTCACAGCCAAGGAAAAAAGGCAAGGACCCACCAAGGGCTCATCAAGGAAAGTGGGGAAATTTTGAATGGCTACTACTTTACACACCGGAAGTCTAACGAAAATGATAGAAGTTGGTCCCAACAGGAAGTTCATGAAATCATATTAAATCCACTGACCTTAGCTTTAGGTTACTTAACTCTTTTCCTCATATTATATTATATGAAGAAATAAATTCCAGAACATCCATTCAGACCCTTTTTTGTGTGTATTTCAAAACATAATTAATAACATCAATGTGGCCAAATCCCAAACCGCCCCTTAAACACTTCCCCTAAGCCCTAACCCTCTGTTTGGGTGTTCCTGTTTGGGGGCCAGAGGATGTAGCGGTGAAGTAATGGCGGAGGAAACACCGGCATTCAAAAGCAATTTCTGCAGGTTTGCTGCATCTTCATCACACTGACAAAAAAACTTATTTGGGAAAAAAAAAAGGGAAGGTCCTCTCAGAAATAGTGTTATTTGACTGTATGCCTTTATTTTCAAGAAAGGGGCAAATGTTAGATGTCATGTCAACCTGCACCACAGAGCTACGGCCATGCAGATTGGGCATTGCTGTGTTGCCATAGCAACAACCGCTTTTCTTTTTGGTGGAAGGAAGAGGCCATCCCATTCTGATTTATACCCCCACCTTAAATCAATGTGGCCTCCACAGTAGCAAGTATGACCTCTTTGGGATGGTGAATAGGTAGTGAATGGGGGCAGTTTGGGATTGGGCTTAGGTCTTCAAAAAAATTGAAAAATCAAAGGAAAACCAGGAAAATCTTTTCCATTAACCCTTCAAACATCCTCTGGATGGAAATTTAGTTTACTTACTAACTACTTACTTCTACATTCGCTTTGCATTCATGCATTTACATCTGTCAGCTGCCATACCGAACACATCTGGATTACTTGAATGTTCTCTGGTCTTTCCAATCTCAGTGAGTAGCAAGAAGTAAAAGGGCTCTGTGATGTCATTTTTAAAACTTAAGAGGCTGGAAACTTTTAATTATATGCAGTTAAATGCTTCTAAGCAAACGTGCTTCAGCCAAATTCTGCAGGATTGTGGGAGGTTTAAAAAAAAATGCGTTTTATAAGTTTTTTTTATTTTCATAAAAAACTGGTTTTAACTTTTATGTAAAAGATTATGCTAAAACAATTAAAGATGGCATATCTCTTTACCAGGGTGCCAATAGGAGCTGAGGAAGCTGCGTACCTGTTTAAAATGAAATTCCCTATAGATAAGGTCTTAGAAAAGGGGACGTTGTAGCCAAAACAAACTTAAGCAGCAAACCATTGCATTTTCAATACCTATGGTTATTTTTTACCTGAACTGTGTCTTGAAATCTGTTTAGACAGATGGGAAAACCACGGATTGAATACAAAACATCATTTAATCAAAGCTGACCTGAAAGCAGTGAAGAAGGTGTTTGGCTGCCGAAGCTCTGGAGGCTTTGATATACAGCTTATGTAGGGAGCATTGAAAAAAGAGGGAATTCTCTATCTTAAAGTCCTGTCATTCAACATTAAAGGAGATTAAAACAGGTTTAAGTAGGCCTTGCTGACATGCACTGGGAATGATGGCGACCTACAAGACTGTTCATGTGCAAACAGCCTGACAATCCTCTCAGCTTGATATTATCTGTAAAGATATCCTGACCAACCACCATGTTTTCACAAAGATATGTGCTGCTGTGGTTTACTCTGCAGTGTCTATATGTGCTCACTAATAATATGGAACAGAAATCCCTGAAAGACTGATTATAGGGCATCCTGTCTTAGGGGACTTAAGATAGCGTCTGATTCTAACGGGTTTTATTTCCCACAGCTTGTGGATACATTAGAGATCTAAAGGCAAGGAGTCACCTTGTATATATAATTTATTATAAAACATGGAGTTCACCTGGAGGATGAACTGAGCTATTTCCTCAAGGAGAAGAGTTTCATATTTTTATTGTAGACGATCTAGACGCAGATCCCAGATTGTATGTATTTACTGTACGACCGAAAAGTCTATAGCTCTGATTTCTTAATCTATTTAAAAGATCCTTGCTCAAAAAAAGGGAAATAAATTTTTTCTCAAGCGAAGAAAAAGAAATGCAATAAAAAAAAAAGAAAAACAACTGAAGCAGGTCTTGACAAGAGTGGTAATCCCATCACAGTGTTGTCAGCGGGAAACCTCTCCCCTAAGCCACTGGTGGCAGGAAGACTTTGATTGGAAAAAGTAGAACAACATCCCTGCCAAGTGGTTTAGATCTAACAAGCTAACAGAAAAAAAAAAAAAAACTTTTCATCCAATGAAGATAAATAGCTATTTTTTTCTTGAACAGGTTTATTCAATCAATTCATAAAATAAAAATTATCTACATCCGTACTAGCAGGAAGAGCTGCTCCTTAAAGGTACAGTGTGTAATAATTACAGGGATTTACTGACATAAATGGTGTATATACTGTATTTTATCTATTATCACCTATGAACTTAAAGTCTCTCTCCATATCTTTGCCTTGCATTAAAAATTGCTACTGTATCTGTAATAACATAGGAGTAGGTTTGCATTCTAGAGGCAGACATCGTTTGCACTACGGCAGCGCATCACTGAAAACTAGTGACTATAGAGATCACCATTACTATCGAGTGGAACTGCAGCAAGTTATAGGCTCTTACGAAATATTATTTATTAAATAATAAAACAACTGCCTGGGTATTATCAAGATGACCGATTTAAATTGCCATTTTTTTGTTTTATACTGAGCGGATTCACATCTTTCTCCTGCCTTTGTTTGTCCATGTTTGTTCTGGTCAGAGTGGCCAAAACAGGGGGACAACTTGTCACTACCCGATCCGTCCTGGAAGCACGATCCGTAGCATCAGCTCATTTGCACATGTGCAACCAGATATACATCCGGGTTTCCATAAACAATGTAATTATGGTACTAAAATTACTTATTTCTATCCTTAACTCACTAAGATTGCTAATACTTATCTTAAATCTTAAAAATAAAGTTTTATGACTTTTCTGAGACACTTTTGATGCTTTTTCCAGTTAAACTGCTTGTCTGATGTCATCATCAGACATGCTCAGAGCAGTCAGGCAAAATATGATTAAACCATGTTTATCTGCATTTTAGTTGTTTCTTTTTTTTAGATTATGCACTATATACCATAATGTTACACAAAAGGAAAACATAAAACTCAAAAAGACTAGATTTATGTTTAAATCCAAAGCAGAACCCAAATTGGCTGCAGATAAGTGAAAAAACAGAAAGGATTTAAAGGCAGTTATTTTCTCAGGAAATACATTATTAACCTTTAACACCTTATAGTTTAGCAGGCTTGATTTTGTTTTTTACAAAACAAAATCAAGGGCGCCCCGGATGTATATCTGGTTGCACATGCGCAAATGAGCTGATGGTACCGATCGTGCTTCTGGGATGCATCGGGTAGCGCAATGACTCACCTGGAAAAAAGAGGTAATGGTTCATCTGACCATTACATGTCACTGAAAATTACACAATGCAGCTTTAATTCAAACCAATCCAGTTCATTTTATTTAGAGATCACTAATCAATGCAAAGCTTTGGATGCTGAACTGTTTTATTTTGATGAGTCATTTGCAGCTTTTTCTATCATCTGCGATCAAATTTCTAAAGATGTGAAGCTTTTTGAGATCGTTTAACCTACTTCATGCTGTCAGACAGTTCCAGCGAATCAGTTTAGGAGCGACCAATTCACAGAATGTTATTTATTAGAGCATTATGGTGAGACATTTCTAAAATTGCTATTGACTGAAAAGTTAGAACATGTTAACTTTTTATACATATTCGTAGAGAGAAAAACATCACAAATGTACAACTTAACAGACAAAAGAGAGGGTGTGGAAATACTGCAGAATTAGTGGCTCAACATTTTATATATTTCATTCTCAACCTCCTTTTATGTCATAGTATACAGGAAGAAATGCAGAAATTAATTAGCCATTTTGATATATGTAAACTGAAGCAGTGATCATAAGACGATTGTAGAGAAGATAGATTCATTTGAGATCTGCTCTATTCCACCTCTCTATGAGTTATTTTATAATCTGTCCTCCACATGGTGATTAAAAGCCTCTGAGACTGCGTGAAGTTGGTCAACAAGGCAGGCAGGAGTTTCAAGCAGTCTTACCACATGGCAGGGACCACGCCAGCGCCATAAGGAGGTCACCGAGGTAATTGGGATGACGAACGAGACCCCACCAGCCTGACACCAGCAGCCGTTTCCCTGTTGCTGTGGCGATGGTCTCCAGTCCTGGAGGGAGTCGTGAAGAATGCAGATTAGGCAAAAACATTTGCACATCAGCTTCCCATCCTCCTAACCTGATCTGACATCAGGAGGATTTGCATGAGTGGAGTTACTTTATTAGAAATGAGAAAACAGTTACCTTCAATAAATTAGCATTGCTTATGTGAAAGGAACAGAAACAACAAATGACCTGAGACGCTTGGGTGAGTTGGGTCTCGTCTGAACTGGTTCTTCTGCGAGTTGGATTTTCTGAAAATGTAATATCCAACACCTGATGGTAAACAGGAACAGGTTTATCTTAAACAAGCTTTCCAGAAACACAACACAGCTAATCCTGATGAAAAGGAAATTCACCATTCAGTGCTACTATAACTGCAGCTTTGAGCAAAGAAAGGGTCTGAGGGTGAACAACCAGGAAGGAAGCCTGCAGGCTGTAGGTGAAGGGAACCCAGGCCAGGTCACCAAACACTAGCATGAACCCAAATCCATCATGCACGATATCCATGGTGGTCAGAACAGCCTCCTGATTATATACAATAATAGCAACAAAAAAAAAGTTAACCAAGGAAATAAAAAGCTGAATCGATCTCTATGTATCTCGAGATAAAGTTCACCTCATTCCATAAAGCATCTGCCACATAAAGCAGCTGGAAGCAGTTCACCAGGATCATGGAGAGGGAGGGAGAGCCTCGGAGTTCCACCTCTTTCATCAGCATTCCCAGGTTTATGACCACCTGAGGACACAGGAAAGATAACCAATTATTTACTATCTCTGAAACTATTTCTACACTATGATATTGGCTGTGTCTCAATGTCTGTTCTAACCACTATATAGGAACAGAAACAACCTGGAACCACTATCTAGGGCACTGTATAGTGCTTACACCATTTTAAATGAGTGTGGAAAAAGAAGTGGACGTGAAATGCGTCCCACAATTCACCTTTCCTCGCAAAGAAAGCATTATGGGATATTCTGTCACAACAGCCTGCTACCCAACAACGGTAACAAATAGCAAAGATGGCGCAGGCACCGTTCAGGGAGCAGAGTTATGTGACCAACAGGCAACAAAAAAGTTGTGATCATTTGCCCGAACGGTCGGTTAATTGAGTTCACTATAAAGTCCACTTTATAGTTCCGCTCTATATAGCGTTTGAGGGATTTAGGGGTTAGGGCGCACATTCGGACACAGCAGGTGTTTCATTTATCACAGCACCTACAGCTGACAACTTACATGTGATCTACAAAAAGGACCATTATTTTGAAAGGGGAAGGAAAATGTGCTAAATTGGACTTGTTGACTTCAAGCATTATACTTTATGCCACAAAAACCATCAAGGTAGGTCATCCTAAATGCAACCCCCATTGTGGTAAATGGAGGTGGCTGCATCATGCTGGGGGATGGGAATCTGGGCAAGAACTAAAAATTGATAATCATGAATGCTGTTCATCAGGTCTGACTGAGCTGGAGCTAATTTGCAAAGCAGGATGTGAAACATTGGCAGCCTTTCAATTGCATAAAGTTGGTCAGAGTTTTTGTCAACACTCTGTGCGGTTTGGCAGAATATGTTAGCCCCTACCAAACCACACAGATACGTACAAAACTTTATGCACAACTGCAATGTGCCAGTTCATCAGTCACTGCTCACTGATTTCCCAACTTTAACATTTTCACATTTTGTAATATACGAGTCAATTCTAGCCATGTCAGAATTCAAAACTCTCATCAACCAAGAAATTTTTTCTAGCTTCATACTGTAAATAAATTATTATATTTATCATTACACAATCGAGCGAACTCAGTCATTTTAACATAAGATATTATAAACGTCTGTAAACTTCTGAAGGCTGAAAATACATTGTTTTGACATTTCCTAGGATGTGAAAAAAAAAAACTCCATATATTGTCTGGAGCCAGTTGGTGGAAGGTTTTTCTTCTGCTCTCCTACGCACATTGCTTTAAAACATTCACATGTACAAAGGTTTAACTCTTTATACTGCGACTACAGAGAAATCAAAGTACAGCCTTTGTATTCTTAATTAAACCTTAACTGTCTCATTATTTTTGTAATTTTCTATTGCTTGTTTATATATATATATATATATATATATATTTAGGGTAATATAAATATTTAATTCCAAATGAAACTACATCTATATACTTTAAATTTTTCCTTTATGATCCAGATCCAAGATAAAAGTGTCCAATCAATCTGTTACTTCTGTGTCAAAAGGGAAGGAACAGCTTTTAATCTGGGTTTTTACAAACTGGGAATGAAAATGAATCTCAGCAGAGCAACAGTGCCCCCTGGTGGTCAGATTGGGTTTTGTCATCAACTGCGTCAGATGATTTTTAGCATGGGATTTTTTCCCGCTTACTTTTAGAATAATAGAGAATTGGCATTAAAAAAATAAATAAATAAATAAACTAACAAAACTTTTTCCATTTGGTTAACATAACTTTGAACTCACCCAACCAATCAGACCAGGCCTGAGTTCACAGAAATATTTGAGATCAAAGTTTCCAATCCGTGGGTTCAGCTCCCGTCCAATGAAGAAGTCATAAAGAGGATTTCCTTCAAAAAAATAAAGAAAAAAAGAACAGATTTAGTAGACACCTGCTCCAACTTTCTAAATCTGTTTTAGTTTGAGGAAAGGTGCTGTGGTGTTGGATGTAGGAATTTGCCCTGAAATCGAAGGGTTGACGGTTCAAGGCCCAACTCTGACTTTCAGTGTCGTTGTGTCCTTGGGCAAGATACTTCACCTGCACTGTCTACTGATGGTGGTCAGAGGGCCTGGTGGCGCCAGTGTACAGCAGCCCTGCTTCTGTCAGTGAGCCCCAGGGCAGCTCTGGCTACAATGTAGCTTGCCACCATCAGTGTGTGCGTGAATGGGTGAATGAATGTAGTGTAAAGTGCTTTGGTCAAGTCAGCCTGACTTGAATAAAAGGCACTTTATAAGTACATGCCATTTACCATTTAAAAAATAAGAAAATTGTATAAATAAACACTAACATACAAGTTAGAATTACCTACAGTTAAAAGCTATTTCTTATAGCTTTAATAATACACTATCTGACATATTTAGAAGCTCAAATGGATGTAATATTTATTCAAATTCAAGCTCAGCTATCTTTAAAAGTCAACTCCTCTTGATTCTGGATGAAAGTAGATCTGTCCGGATGCTTTACAAACTAGTTAAAACTCTGATGAGTGAATACTAGTAACAAGTTTTTTTTTGTTTTTTTTTGTTATTTTTTATTCATCTATATCACTGCCTTATAGAGCTAAAATAATAAAATAAAGCAATTGGACACCTGATTTTAGGATTATTCCTTATATTTCAGTATTAAAATGCTTACATTGTTCAGATTATATGTATGTGCAATTTTCAACAGATGGATATAATCTTATGGTTAAACTATGAATATTGAAAGAAATAATTTGTTAATTGTTTATTTAAAAATTCATTTATTCAAAATTAAAAATGCTCATTTTTATTTCTGTTACGAACAGAGACAGAAGTTATCCTCTCAGAAGAAATATTATAATACCGCCTTTTTCTTTTTTTTGGATGCTTTCTGCCTGAGGATACATGAGTCGACCCAGCAGGGTCAGCTTGCTTACAAGGGAAAATTCAGTTTATGACTGATGCCTGCAAACTCCTGTTGAGCATGCCTCTTAGATATTCACCCACAGGAATATCGAAAATCCTGCGATACAGCAAACAAGCAATTCAAATGCAAAGAGAGTAGCCGCTAGTCATTTCATTGTGATTTTATTTTTTGCTATTAACTTCGGTTTCTCACCTGTGTCTCCCCCCAGGGCTAGAGCATGAGAGGGAACCAAAAATGAGCGGACGTAGAGGTAGATGGAGAACAGGAACGACACGGCTATTGCAGACACCGCCAGAGGCACGAGAAGCTCAAAGAGAAATCCAAGAGGAGCCCTGAGCCCCAGCAACACCATCAGCAGCACGGCGCTGACGCACAGACTGTGAAAACCTCGGGGAGGAAAACAAACTAAATTAAATGCTGTAGACCTGGGGAGAGATGTAAGCAAACAGATGGAGGACTGCATTGAAAAAAAAAAAGCTATAAGTTGGCAGATAGAGGGAATTTTATCTAAAGTAAACTTGAACTCAAACAGACAAACATAAACGCCTTGTTAATTCGGAGACAACAGCTTCAATCTAAGCCCATATATACCATTTATGGGATATTTAAGACGCGTTCCATCCCTCAGAGCCAATCCTTCAGAGACCTGCAGGCAAAAAAAAAGCAATCATGATCAGTGGATCATCAGTGGATTATCATTGATATTTTACATTCTATACTTTTACTATAGAATTGCAAGGATTCTGGACTCCCTTATGCCACCCAAAGCCTAAAGATGTGATTCACCAAGGTGTACATCCTATATTCCTAGCTAAAAGCCTGATCTAGGCATTAAAGTTTATGACACAGTCCTTTCAGAAATATCTGGATTGAAAGTGACTTACTGGAGCAGAACAACCCAAACTATTCCACTGTAGCTCTGGGTATATGTCTATAGTTAGTGTCCCACTAGAAGTTAAAGTTGTTCATTAATTTTTCTAATCTCTGGCAGGCTTTCCTCTAGCCTTGCCATGCATTTACCTTCATCCAGACTCCCATTAACTAATCCTTTTCTGCCTCTGCTGAGCAACCGATGCTCAGACAGAGGGACACTGCCATCGCCAGGTGTAAGTGGATCTGATTCATTTCCACGTACACCTTCAGTTTTTGCCCATCGAGGCCAAATAGTGCATTTGTATCTATGTTTGAGAGCAACTTCTTCCACATGTTCTCCGTATCCCATACATGGATTGCTACACGCTTTAAACTCTTCTTAGCCCTCTTCTAGCTTGACAATGAAGAATATTGGCTGCTTCTCTGATTAAATCTATCTTAAACCAACCTGTCGATTTATGTTGTAATCCATGTCACAATAAGTTTGGATTTGTGATCATTCAAAGCGTACAAATACTTTTGCAAGGATATGATGTAGAGTGTAACATAGGAGGCTATCAGACCTTCCCAAACGGCATGAAATAGAGAAGGGCATGCAGTCCGATCCATCCAAGCAGAAGCATTGGAGCCAGCGGGTCCCACAGCTGGTCAGTGGAGGGGAGCTTTGGGGGCCATTGGAATACACTGGCCTCAGGGGATTGGCTTACACCAATCAGGAAGAGCACAGTAAGTGGGAGAAAAACTGGAATACAAACAGCACCTGGAAGAGAAAAAAAAACACTTTAAATACATAACACTGGATGGGAGGAAAAAGGCTTAATCAGTTGAACTGTGTGAAATTAATAGGAAAAATATTACCAGAGAATAAAGACCTTTCTAATATTATTACTAGGGCTGTAGCTAACAATTATTTCGCAAATTGATTAATCTCTCCATTACTTTTTTATCAGATAGCAAAAGGTTCCTTAAAGAAGACTTTTTGTGAAATCAAACCAGGTGAAACCAAATTTTTTCCGCTGGAGGAGTTCTAGATAGAGCATAATGTCATACGAACAAGTTCTTTATATAAAATAAAGATGTTTACATAATTTGTTTTACAATATTGGTATAATTACTGCTCTAAAAGGGTCGCTCTGTCAGCCAAAGACATGTTTTACAGTCTCTGCAATCCAGTTAACCATTACTAAATTAGTTGATGATTATTTCAATAATCGATTAATCATGATTAATGTGATTAATTATTTTAGACCTACTTGTTACAAAGAGTAAATCAAACTGCATGGTTGAACATTCCTGCCAGTAAAAGAGCATCAGGAAAAAACAATATTTGTCTGATTGTTGGTAAACATGTTAGAAAAGGGCAACACCAACATGTGACCAAATAACATAACATCCCTTCAGTATATTATCATAGTTAAATGACAAAAAGACCATATTATCTGATTATATTGACCTCTGTAAGAAAGCAACTCTATAAATAGTGTCCTGAAGCATCAAATTATTCACATTGGTTCAGTTAAATGTTAGAGGATGTTATCAAATATTAATAATTCATCTTATACAAAATTAGACAACGCACTTCAGTGAGATGACAGGAAGAACGTTTATTCCACATTTAATTGGAGTCCTTCCCTTTAATAAATAGGGGACGCCTCCTTCAATTTGTGCCCCTTAATCAAAAAAAATTACCGGTAATATATTGTTGTCTCATCTGTTTTTATATCCAGCACAAAAACAGAATAAAAAAATTCACCTTGTTTTATTCTATAATTTTTTTTTTCAAGCTGAGGAAAAAGATAGTACAACCTTCCCTCTAATTGTTAGTCTAACTGCCTTTAGCCGAAATATCTTCTTCTGCTTTAGCTTAATTATTCTTAAAGGTTGTCAAAGAATCATTTGATATGCAGCAAAATCCATGGTGCAGGTCAGCATCATGTAGTAGCGAAACATTCCCAAACCATGACACTTCCGTCTCCGTGCCTCACAAGTAACATGAGCTTCTTCACCGAGAGACTGTATTTGATTTTTTATTTTATCTTATTATGAGTCACAATAATTCAGTTTTATATTAAATAACATTATTCTAGGATTCCTATTAGCAGACTTTTCCAAACTTCTCCTATTAAAGTTGTGCAGACTCTCTGTTTGTATAGGCATGTACTTTTATATTGCCATAAGCAATTATCTGCTGTTCGTCCCCTGAGGACGTTTTGGAAGCTTTCTTGATCATCTTGTGATTTGCTGTCAGAGTAAGCATGTTTATGCAAGATGACAGCTGCTTTGAATGTCATCCACTGACTACTTTTTTAATGTAATGTCAAGAAACTGCCCGGAAGGAATGAAAAAGGCCACAAACCATGGTAACTGCAAGACAAAAGAAAAACTACAAAGAATAAGGTCAGAACAGAAACTGACTAATGGAGCCAGGGTACAGAAGTGAGAACAGGAAATAACAGGTTATAATGCCATCATGTGACGAAAGGGCAGAACGACAGAGGGTGACGACTAGGGCTGCAACTACCGATCATTTTGATAACAACTTTTAAACAGTGCATGCACAAGGAGAAATTTGCTCGTGCACACTCTTATACGCCTATTAAAGGTGTGCTAGAGCACACCTTTAATAGGCGTTCCCCGTCCGAAACGGCTACAGGATTCTGCATGTGCCTTTTTTTTTAAAGTGGAGACGACAGGTCTTTTCAAAAATTCGTGAAAACCCTCCTCTATACCTTTAAGCAGTTCACAATTATTAATTTAACTGATTATAATTATACTTGATTATTAATAATTGATTAATCAGAGGAGAACGATATCACATTACAACAGGAGAAGAACAGAATGGTCTAAAAAAAACATATTGAGGAAACAACATTTCACTTTGACACAGGGCATATGGACAGAACATATACATCTGACAGCTACACATAAAACCACTACATATATAGCTTCTGTTAAACGAGCATGTCAGATACACACGTTATATAGTCACATAGCAACACACATTAACACATTTTTTGCACAAATGTAAAGCCATATAAGATTAAATATAGAACTGCAAACGCTATCCTAGGGTGTCTTGATGTTTTTGCAGCATGGCTCTAACTTACCCAAAGTTCCTCCAAACTCTCTTTCTGTGTCATGGGTTGGTCTGTGATTTACCGCCTGCTTGTTCCGTCCCATTTTTGTCCCCTTGTTTAGGAAAGTGACACAGATGGTGGAGATCATTGAAAATACAGACAAAGAGGATGAGTATGAGTAATATTGTCTGGAATTTGAAACAGCTTGATTAGATGGACTGGATCATACATCATTAGTGGATATTAAAAACAAGATGTCAATGAGCAGATTTTAATTAATTAAAAACTCTCAATAATCCTCAGTGATCAACAAATATAGATGCAGTGGTGTGAGAAAATGTTTACCCACTTCCTGATTTTTTATTTTTTATTTTTTTTTGCATACTTCTCACACCGATTTTTTCTTTCTTTTTTTTTTTTCAAATCTGGTCAAAGATTACACAGTTAAATACAAATGCAGTACAAAGGCCCTGTGTGAAAAAGTAAACACTTTTTCCCACAGCTGTACTGGTTGGAATAAAAAAAAAAACTCTATTCATATTTATGTTAGGGAAATGTGCCATTGCAAGATAGAAGCGCTGATCTCTATTTATTCACTGGATTGCTGATAGCCCGAAAAATGTGAAGCCACTGGCCGCCATATTGGTACTCCCCACTTCCACAGAGATGTGCAGTAAAAATGCCTATCTGTGTAGCATTTGGGTGCAAAAACAGTTTGCCGGCAGTGGGATGACGTTTCTCCAAGTAATTTCACAGTCAGCATAAATCCATATACCGTATACACTGATGTATCCTATGGTACAGTAACATTAGTCTGGCTATCTCGGACTGACTCAAAGATATTGACTTAGTTAGCCATTGACATCGTATCTAACATTAGAAAATAGAAAGTAGATTAAATAGAAAGTAATTCACTGTGACAAAAAATAACATGCAAAGTCAAACATTAAACGGTAATGCAAAGACACAGCATTAAAGTATATGGCATCATGCATGCACAGTTTGCAAATAGGAAAATACAACAGCATTAACAGACATTTAGTTGTATTTCACTCTTTATGTAAAATCTTAAAATTATATGTAATGTGTAATTACCACAACAATCCTATCAATACATGTCTATTACATGTACAACATCAGTTTAGCACGTTTGGCACAATGTATGATTATGCTCCATTAACACATTCATTTTGTTTTGATGGATTTGTATAATCTGTTATATTGCATGATTTATAGACTTCATTGACTTCATACTGACTATGCAATGTGATGTGCCTATTTGTTTAATATAAGTTAAAGTAATCTACTGATGCTATTAAACACCAAGTGTGTGTCAAAGTGAGGAATTTATCTTTATTTTAAAAGTCTTAAGCTGCCTGAAAATGAGAAAATCATTGTTGTTGGATGCTGTAGCGCACATATTGTTAACATTCCAACTGGTCTAACTAGGGAGTACCAATATGGCGACTGGTGGCTTCACTTCAACCCCGTACTAACAGCAGGCTGTCAGCAATCCACTGAATAAATAGAGATCAGTGGATGCAAGTCAGGCAATATTTGACAACTTTCTGTCTCAAAATTTAAGGTTAACTGTGACAGTTTGCTTTCCAGGGTTGGATTTTAAGTTCAGCAACATTGGTCTGTTGGATCATGAACCAAGTTACCTCAAACTTAAAAATGTTTGGAGGAAAAAAATCCCACAGTAGGACTTTTAAACCTGAAAACAACTGAATAGCTTTGATTGTGGTGGTAGCATCATGCAAAGGTTTCACCCCCTATAGTATGGCTGTCTTCACCAAAGAATGAACAAACATTTTGGAATAAACAAAGTCAGTTCTATAATATGCATGTATTACACTTTAAAGCCAAGCAGGCATTCAAATTCAGATGAACAGACAAGTGGTCAAATATCCTACAAGAATTATGACAAATATAAGAAAGAGATTATATGAATGATTAGGAAATCAAGTGGCAAGGAGAAAATTCATGTATTTAAAGTTTATGTAAAGATATATTGTACAAAAAAATCTGTTAAACTGGAGAAGTTTTTTAAAGCACAATCAAAGGTCAACAATAGATTGTTATCTGACTGAAACCACTGACCTGTATATTTAATACCTGCTATAATAGGCCTGTTTTTAAAATTAACATGAAATTAGTATATTTAATCTGGACAGGTGGTTGTCTGGAAATATAATTGCTTCTGTAGCTTTAAAATAAAAGCCTTGACAAAGAAAATGAATGGTAATCTAAATGTCAACAAAACAAAACCGTATTACCTTCATAAATTACAGAGTCCAATCAGGGGTCAAAGTCCATTGAATCCCTTAGAATTCACACAGAAATCTGAGCTAAAACATCATCAAACCGCAGTGGTAAAAAATATCTATAAGCAGTTTGTCGTGTGTTATACTAAATGAAAGCTCTTACCAGTATTGAGTACAGCAGTGAGCCAGAGGAACATCAGTTGCTGTCCTGTCAGTCCATACCGCGGGCTGCAAAGACCCGCCCACAGTAAGGCCTGTGGGCATGGAACTTTCTCTAAGCCAATCAGATATGTCCGTGGTCATCAGAAGAGGGTGGGGACAAACGGCTTTAGCCAATCAGAGCCAGCTGACCAGATGGCGACAGCACAAACCGGAGACGCTTCACCGGCTGGTTCATGTTATGAAATATCACCTGGATTTCAGACGTTAATGCTAAAAAGCAGCAGTTAAACCATCTTTAACTACGCGATCTATTTATAAGGATATACATCAGGTGTTTAAAGAGGACATATTAAACACCGTTTATTATTTTTTAGAAATGCAATCCTGCCATAATAAAAAATACAGAAATAAATAAATGCTCCAAAAACAAATAAGCATACAAGTAACCCCCCAAAAGTCAATACTTATAAGATTAGCGTTGTTTTCAAAAACAGTGGCTAAATGGCTGCTTCATCGTAGGTAGCCATGTTTGCTGTGACAGTGGCCAGTGGCTGCTAACCGGCAAATGGGCAGAAGTTGAGCCATTAAGACACACTCTTCCTCATCTGCATAATGAGGCAGAAATGCACACAGAAATGTAAATACACAAAGGAAGAATAAACCAGACAAAAATATTAACATGTACATAAATAAAGAAGTAATAAATAAATAAAGTTGAACAATATAACGGACAATAAAAAANTCAATACGGTAAAAAAAAAATACAAAGGAAGAATAAACCAGACAAAAATATTAACATGTACATAAATAAAGAAGTAATAAATAAATAAAGTTGAACAATATAACGGACAATAAAAAAGGTAATTATTACAAAGACAAATAAACAAAGAAGCTAATTAAAGGCTATATATATATATATATATATATATATATATATATATACACACACACACACACACACGTCTCACTCCGTAATTTCATTTCTACCTACATTTATTTGTTTATTGTATTTTGGGGGGCAATTAATTGTATGCTTATTTATTTTTTGAGCATTTATTTATTTATTTTAATTATGGCAGGATTGGTCCTCCATAAGAACAGACTGATAACAAAGATGTAATGTATTTAGGGTCACATCAATAAAATAGTCCACAAATAAACTGAAGATTTTTATTGTTGGAAGAGCTTAACTTTTTATTAATATTTATTCACACACATATGGGAGTCCTAAACATCTAAAATGTATCCTTATATTTCAAGACAGAATTCATTATTGTTATTTATGATTAACAGAAAAAAAAGACAATTGTAGTACGCATAAAAGTAGAGTCAAACGGTATCATAGCGATCTTGGAATGACGCCCATGAAGAATTGCAGGATCAATGAAAAAAAAAAAAAAAGTTTGGATAAATATTACTATATTATGCTAGCTGTAATCACCTTATATGATGATAAAAGTGACTGAATCAATGTGGCACTGGTATATTTAACCTCTTTCACAGATCACTTCAATCACACTCTGCTCCATTGGACAGGGGTCCAGGCAGCGGTGGGCAGAGCTTCCCACTATTTCATCCAACAGGAAGTGCACCAGGTTCTCATCCGAGACGAAGCGCCACAGGTACATCTGCAGGTAGTGGCAGTCGACCTGGATCTGCTGAAGGCCATAGCGCCCAAAGGTGCGCAGGCGGACACACTCCAGGAATGTTTTCAGGCTGATTTTGATGATTCCTGTCATCACTGAAACCTGGGTAAAAGAAGAAGGGGGCATATCAGGTTTTATGTTACATTTTAAATTCACAGCTGTTTTTTTAACATTTGAAGCTGGCTCTGTTTCATTATTATTATTATTATTATTATTATTTAATTTTTTTTTTTGCTATATAAACGACACAAAACCATAATCACTGGGTGCAAAACTAACCCACAGCATGATGCTGCACTCATTATATTTAAAAAGTTGGCAAGGGAGGTTTAGGTTGATTTCTCCCAAACGTTTTGTCATTGTGGATAAGTAGCTAGAGAATTACATTTCAGACCTTTTAGTCTGACCTTAAATAAGTGCAAAGTAAAAATGAGCCCCAACTTTGGCAATGTACTTATTTTCACCATTTTTTTAACTTCCCATGTGTCTAGAATTTAAAGTGAGAGAGGGGATCAAATACTAAAATTGACATGCTAAGGTCCTCCCACATCTGTACCATCAGAGTCGGAAAAGTCCAATTCAAAATCCAGCCATGAGAAGCTGTGAGAAATAAAACCACTGATCATACTCCAACTCTCTCGTTCACACAGACAAGCAGTCTTTGGATCCCAGATCATGTTCTGCTCGTATTAAGTGCTGAAAATTCTCAAACGCAGCTCCTAAGACTGTTACATTAAACGTCAGGTCTTTAGAGCCGTATAAGCAGAAAAACACTGGGTACCTCATATAACACAATGTCTCACACAGGCGTCTTTCGATAAGCTGGGGTTAATAAATGAAACAACAAACAGTACTCTGATATTTGACACCTGCTATTATATATTCAAACAGATAGCACCTGATTGGTAACACACAATCTTCCTACTGATAACTAGAGGCAGTATAAAAACTACTATTATAAATATAATTGTCCCTTGTGTTAAAATGTTAAAGTCTGGTTTTGGACTAAAGAGTCTTCCCTAAAGGACTGTAGCCAGAATCAGGTCCCTTTAACAAGACTAATCAAACATATTGACCCAGCTGAACTGCAGCACTGACCTTGTTGAACTCCACAGAGCTGAAGATGTCAATCCTTTCAGAAAACAGCTTGTGTATGTTGCTCAGCAGATTGGTATCCATGGGAGCACTGCAGGTACACAACAAGTGACAAATCATCCATTGTTTCATATATAACTATATAATAAAAACTAGGGATGCACGATATAATCAGCCCCCTATCGGTATCGGCCTGTATCGGCCTTAAAACTGAATATCGGACATC